ATATATATATATATATATATATATATATATATATAAACAAACATTTTGGTGAATTAGAGTAACTTTTTTCTAAAAATATTTGTGCATTGTAAGTGCATGTAAAGGAGGTATTGGCAAGATTTCAGCTGTAGTAAGCCAGACTGGCCACCAGAAACCTACTACAATATTTGGAATATGAAAAAAAAAAAACTTTTGGTTCATTCTAGTATTTTTTCAAATATTTTTTTTTGCTTACTGTACTTACAGTAAAGGAGGTTATGGCAAAATTTCACCTGTAGTCAGTCAGTCTGGGCACTACAAACTCACTAAACCCACAGGAATTATTTTTTCAAGAAATTTATTTATTTATTTATGCACTTGTATGAAATGAAGTATTGTCAAAATCTAACCTCTATTAAGTAACTCTTGACTGCTACAAGTTTTACAATGTGTATTATTAAATGTTAAAAGTTATTGTAATTGCAATAATTTTGACGTTTTAAACCAGTTGGTGCATCGTGCACCGTGATACTGCATTAAAGCTTTCTCGGGTATAAATTTGCAGCTAAAATACACGTAGGAGTTTTGAATTAATATTTTTTTATGTCGAAATACAATGGTTGCATATTGTTAAAAATTAATCGTGGTATTGATATCATTGTAGGAATGTCAACTCTATAACAGTGGCAAGGGAATGTGAATGTACGGCAAATATCGAACCTAAAAATAACTTTACGGCACTGCAATACTGTATAATATCACATATGCCAGTGTGATATTGCTGACATATAAAAAGTCACTTTAGAACTAGAAATGACAGTTGTGCCTGGACCGTTTCATTGCAAGTAAGAAAAATGTGTGTGAGAGAGAAAAGTGTGTGTATAATTACCTGTTAATTCGGGTAAAATTATATATAGGAAAAACATCTGCTTGACGTGTCCCTGAGGATATCAATAACTTATCCGTACTTACAGGTTGAGGAGCTTCCAGGTCACTTGCATGAGCGCTGAACAGTGCATTGATCAGTAAGGAGTGAAGTGTCATTTGAGTTGGCTTTACTGAGCACTGAAATCTGGCTCTTAAAGATCAAATAGTTTCAGCACTTTTCGAACCCAAATGAACCTGTCTTTTGAACAAATCTATTGAGTGAATGATTCAGTGACTTACTCATAACGACAGTCAGGCCCTGTCCCAAATGGAACACTTCTTGTGCACTTGCGGTCTTATGGACTTACAATGGCCGCCGCGTGCGTGTGTCCGTTAAGTCCACAAGACCGTTGGGTGTCCCATTTGTCATTTTAGCGTTCAGAAGTGTGCTCACGAGCGCCCCCTTTGCGGCCGTTATGCGCCCTCGATCGACACTTCTGCCGAGCCTGCACTTGTGCGAGCTCCGCAGCAGACTTCTACCCGACAGTCAAAGCTGCATTACGTCAAAAAAGTGCGGACTCAGAGGAAGACCACGAGGGTTTAGGGTGCCATTTGGGACAGGGCCTTCATGTGCATTTGTGGTCTTGCAGACTTACAATGGCCGCCGCGTACACGTGTCCGTTAAGTAGACCGTAGGGTGTCCCATTTGTCATTTTAGCTTTCAGAAGGGTGCTCACAAGCGCCCCCTTTGCGGCCGCTATGCACCCTCATTGCGCACTTCTGCCAAGTCTGCACTGAGGCGAGCTCCGTAGCAGACTTCTACCCGACAGTCAAAGCAGCATTACGTCACGAAAGTGTGGACTCAGAGGAAGACCACAAGGGTTTAGGGTACAATTTGGGACAGGGCCTCATTCATTGTGCTTGAATTAATCAGAATAATCGGTTCAATTAATGGTTCAATGACTCACTCATAAACAAAGTCACTTGTCACCACCTACAGGATGTAACAAAGAAGTGATACAAACAGTGCTGGTAGCAGTCTTGAAATGCCCCTCTGTCCAATCAGATTTGAGACCTTGAATATTCCAGATATACTTGACCACAGATATTTTGAATTGATGTTCTTAAAAATTTTAGGTAGTAGTCATCAATGGTCTGTAATAGTACACTCTTAATGGTGTCTAATTTAAAAAAACGGCAATTTTTACAGCAGTTTAGTTATTATATGGACAGTATTTATTTGTGAAAACAATGGTTTGTTTTTGTACATTTATATTTTTTGCAATTTCACACATTTTTCGGTGTTTCATAAATGTTTTATCGTTAAAATTCGCTGTGGAGTAAAAAGTGTGACAACTAGCCCCGTTTCCCGATAATAGCCTGTATCACCGATATGCATCCCTGTATAAATCATAATATTTAAACAGGCTGTAAATCCCGTGAGTTCAAAACATCATTTAACAAAATGAGATAATCCCGTATTCAACTGGTGTTGCTTCATGAACTGCCCAAATAAAGCGCATCTGACGTGAGGAAAAGCTCGTGTTTCTTGTAGTGATGTAGATGTGTGTGGTTGGTAGATGAGATAAAAACGCATTCGCACGGATCCAGTCCTTCATGTAAATACTCCACAAACGATCGCGGAGGGACGTCACTCTCACTCTCACACACCGCCTACAACTTCCATATATCCACCTGGAAACTAGATACAACGAACATTTGCGCCAATGAAGGGTGAAGATGATGTAAATACTGCGAGGAAAGATGAGGAGGCTGATGGCTCGGGTGAGTTTCTCATGTTTTGCATTCAGAATCCTGATTGCGCGTTTATTTTTGTAACAATGAATATTAAAGATCGACAGATTATGGATCGCTCCGTAGCCAAACAGAATCCATCACTCAGACAACGTATTTATTTTTTAACACGTTTACAATGCCCTAGATTGTTATAACATCCAGGTATGTTATAAATAATGCATTTAAGCAATAACCTGTTGACTGGTGTTATTATTAATAAAATAATACTAATAGTAAAGTCAGATGTGATGAATGGATAAAGAGGCGTGTGATATTAGGTGAGCAACAGTGTTCTGTGGGTTTAGTGCAGTCACGTATTGCCTTCAGGCACACACACACACACACACACACACACACACACTGAGCATATGAGGAAAATCCATCGCAGCATCATCATCTTCACCTGAGGAGAGAGATGTTGGTCTGAGGGGGCGGGGCATGTCAACCTGAGCTGTCAGAGGGGATTTTCCCATTTGGGGTAGGCTATATGGAGGCATGGCTTTTCAAAAAGAAATGGTTTAAGGGAGAATGTTACTACATTATCTACAAGGATTTTTATTGTAGAATGTGGGAATGATGTATAAAACCTGTAATATTTTCCATATTTGCAACAGTGTGACAAGTAAGTTTCATGATTTATTATCCTTGAAATACCGACAATCAAATGTAACTCTCAATTAATGACTACCACAAGGGTGTTTGCCATCCTGAAAATTGCTTTCATTTGTCTGACATCATTATGGTGAATGTAATCAAGCTTCATTAACTAATCTCAACAAGCAAATGAGTATATGGTCCTCTTAAACATAAACCTCTAGGTAATGTTCTGGCTGAAAATTACCAGAAAGCATGTTGTATATCAGTTGGCTATTCAATAGTTGTAGCCTTTGTGTTCCTCTTCTGATGGCAGCTGGTTTTATATGGTTTCTTGGCGGAACATGCTGTTCAGTTTTGTTTATTAGCTTGTCTACATTGATCTAGGTGATGGATCAGATGGACTAGCAGTTAATAGGGCTGAGATTGATCTGGCAGACTTTGACCAAGCTGGTTAAAGCTGATAAACCACCTTGGACCGGTGACAAACCAGCTACTATGTTCCAAAATTCAGCTTGATCATCCTCTGATGAAATGACAAGGATTTTCCAGCAGGAACGGAAATCTAATTCAACAAAATCTTTTTCAAACTCACTTTTTAATTTAAGAAAATTTCTCTAAAGATTCTTTACTTATTGCAGCAAATATTATATAATAATATAACATGAATGTATCTGGGATCATGTAAACTAATTAATTTCACATATAATATGCCATTTTAATATTAAAGGATGTTCGTACACACACACACACACACACATACACACACACACACACACACACACTTGTATCCTACAATGACCTACATATGCATTCTAGGGAGAAAAATTTAGGCATGTGTTCTATAGGGCATTGTTTTTGCTTTATTTTTTATTTGAGATTCATTATACAGTACCATTGTCGTATTACCACTCCATTTTTAAAAACATTAATTTATTTATTAGGCTTTAGTCAAGGTGATGAATTTCCGATGCGTGTCTTACATGAATTGCATTTGCTCTCAGCTGCTCAGTAATTAGGTTGGAAGGCATTATTGTTATCAATATATTGACCCCTTGCTGCCCTCTGTTTTTACTCCAGAGCTGTGATCTATAAAAAGCAACAGAAGTTGTTATGGTATTAAATATAGTATGTTCCAAAATTATGAGACCTTATTGAAAATTAAATGTAAACATTTGTAAAAACAGTCAAACAAAGAATCATGAAAATAAAAAGAAATATTTAAGATTCTGCACAATTTCTTGGTCCAAAAAAAAAAAAGAAAAACAATTTAGAATACTGACTGTGTGACCACTTCTGTTTTAAAAATATTTGTATTTACACTTTCATTTTTTATTAAATGTGAACTGTTGGGCTGTCTGTTGCTCTTGATTGTTTATTTTAAATTTGCATTCAAACTTGATTTTTCTCTTTAAGTGTATGTCAAACTAAACTTTACACCAGCTGATTATGTGCAAATCTGTGTTACACGAATAGTTGTTGAGATTAATTTAGCATTGCACTTTAGGTTCCTATTGCAAATAATATTTGCTTTGATAAATTTGTGTTTGCTCTTCAACAGGGGAGAAACTCTTGGGTTTCAACAGCACAGAGGAGCAGCCATCAGGCCCGGGAGGACAAGACAGCATGTGGCGAAATGAGAAGTATGAAACTGTCCCATTGGATGTGAAGGGGATTGATGAAGACAATTCTAAAGGCACTAGAGATTCTCTATACCCCCAGGCTGCTGTAAGTCACAACAACAGAGAAAACATACCTCTGCACTCATTTCGTCCACTTTTCAGGGATAAAGACATATTACCGGTTCCTCACCTGTTTTCCTGTCTTTCTAGTACTGCATAATTTGCAAGGCAAACTATGGACAAATATGTGGACATTTGAATGGTTCAGTTTACACTTTTGTAGTGAGCAGGTGATATATGATATTTAAGCTAGGGAGGTTAAATTACATAAATAGTCAAATTTGCATTGTAATTTTATTGTTTATGCAAGGGAAATAATCTTGTAAGCTTATATCATGGAGGATAATTAACCAAATATATTTTTATGAAAACTAAAGCTTGCCAAACACATCTCGGCTAGAACACATTGCCTTCCTTTTCGTACTCCAGATGGTGCAATAAAGTTTAAGCTCTGCCGAGTTTGCGTACCCTTTGGTTGTGCAAAACTACTTTGCATTCTAAGGGAGTATTTGAACGTCTTTGCAAATCTGCAGGACAGGCTGGTCACTTTGAAATACCCTCTGAAATGACTTTATAAAAATGTATTTAACCATGTGTTGTGTGCATGTTTATAGATTTGGTACTTTTTGAGTGGTGTGTTACTCCTTATAAGGATTTAACCACATATTCAGGATTAAAATGAAAAATCGTCCACTGAAAAAAAAAACAAAAAAAAACAGCACTTGTCAAGCAGTAAACTTAATTTTGCATCTTAATAAGCTTTTGACAGCTTCCACCACTCTTATCTCATTATTTATAATTCTTTGAGTCAAAAATGCAATTGAATATGTTGTCCCTGTTAGTATTTTGTTCAGAAATCTAGCATGAGAAATATTTACAGGAGTGAAAAGTGTGACAATAGAAAGACATTTTTTTTTTATTTGACCTTTTTAAGCTTCTGTAATATAATGTATAATATAACATAATAAATAATGTCATTTAAAAGTCAATTTATATTTATGCATGGGAATTGAGAAATTTCTTTAGTCTTTTTAACTAAAGACTAACATTATTTGTTTGTTGATACCGCCCCTATAGATGTTTGGTGTTCATGTAAATTCCAGCGTTGTGATTCTCACTTCCTCATTACGCAGAACTGGTTTAAAGGGATAGTTCACCCAAAAATGAAAATTTGATGTTTATCTGCTTACCCCCAGGGCATCCAAGATGTAGGTGACTTTGTTTCTTCAGTAGAACACAAACGGAGATTTTTAATTCAAACCGTTGCAGTCTGTCAGTTGCATAATGTAAGTGGATGGGAATCACGGCTTTCAGAGTCATAAAACATACACAAACAAAACCAAATTAAACCCTGTGATTACAACATGATCTTCTCTTGCACCTGTAATTAGGCTCTTAAGTTTCTGTTGTGACCAGAATGTTTGCTGTTCCTCAGCAAATCTTTTTTTTTTTTTTTTTTTTTTGGTTGGAAGCATCTGCTAAATAACAAAAAGATTTATGTGTCCCGCATTTAAGCAGAAGGAACAAACTTTGAATATGTGCTTCTCAATGTAGGATGGAAATTGAAAATGTTCAGCTGATTGCCTCTTTGTCCTGATAAATGTATTAGTGCACTGCTCATTTGTTGGAAAAAAGAAGTAGACTTTTAGTCAGTGTCACCTTGTTGTTATTGGTTTCGAAGAAGATGTACTCTGTTTCTGTGTAAGACAAACCCACTTGTAAATACTTGCAAGCATCAGTAAATTGTTTTATAGTTTCTGTAATCTGTACTGGAACGCAAATATACACTACTGTTCTAAGAAGTTTGAGGTTAGTAAAAGTTTAAATATATTTAATAAAAGAAATCTATTATACTCAGCAAGGCATGTATTTGATCAAAGATAAAGTAAAACTGTAATATTGTGAAATGTTATCACAGTTTAAAATACATGCTTTAATGTATTTTGAAATGTAATTTATTCTTGTGATGGCAAAGCTGAAAATTCAGCAGCCATTACTTAAGTCTTCAGTGTTAAGATCTTTCATTCTAACATGCTGATTTGGTACAAGTAACATTTCCAAGTAGCATTATGCTGCTTACTGTTTGTGTAAAATGTTTGTTTAATTATTATTTTATTCTTTAATGTCTAGAAAGTTCAAAAGAGCAGCATTTGCCAATTTGAATTTTGACATTTTGTTTTCTTTGTAGCAATGTAAAAGTCTTTACTGTCACTTCAATTTAATATATCTTTGCTGAATAAAAGAATTCATTTCTTAAAAAAATGCTGACCCGAATATTAATCAAGAGTGTAAGTGCACCAATAGGTTTCAACATAGATTTTCCCTCAAAGAAATTAGCTGTAATTTGTTAACTAGGATTTATTTGGTGGGTAGTACCTCTCTTGCCCCATATTTCTATGTGTCCTTGTTCAAACTAACAACACCCCAAACTCACAGCACTCAAACCAACAGAGCAACATTGAAAGCACCACAGAGCCACAGTGTTTACCATATACTGGAAAATCAGCCTATGAATGGTTTACGTCTCAGTGAAGTAAGCTGGAATAGAATAGTGTTTAACATAAATACACCTTTAAAGGGCCAGAAATCTGGAAGTCATACTCTGAGTACACAGGCAGGTTTATGTCTGTTTTTGTAATAGACGTAAAGAAATAATGTTCTTTTTAGCAACATCATATGACCCCTTTAATATTACTAGTGCATTTATTTATGGTTTATAAGGTTTGAGGTTGAAGGTCAGAGTTAGCATCATGATTTTGTTATTGTAAAGTCATTTTTTGATCCCATTATCACTTCTGTCCATATCATTTTTTATAATCTTCATCTATTTTAAATAAAATGTCAAAAGATATTTACTTAAAATCATATAATAATCTACTAATGCAAATTAGTCTCTTATAAAAAAAAAACTATACAAATGAATATAATACTCTTTTATGAACTGTTATTTTTTCTCAGCTCCGGAAAGCTCAGCAGGGAAATGAGAGACCAAAGGACCCAAAGCTGTGGCCGTACTTCCAGGATGGCTTAAGGCGGATAGATTATGTCCTCACCTACCATGTCCAGAAGCCCCAGAGCACTCGCAAACAGTCATCCAAGTCCTGCTTGTGCTGCAAATTCAGACGTGAACAGAGCAGCCCACCTGCTCATGAGGACCCCGAACTCGCAGCCCAGGAACAGAGGCTGGATTACCATGATGACGACCAGCGCCTCCGCAGGGAGGAGTTTGAAGAGAACCTGCGTGAGATGGGCCTTGAGATGGAGAGAGAGGAAGGGGTGAGTCCCATTGTGTTTTCATTTACAGTAGTGTCCATGAAAACCTGGGATTCGTAATCTAATTTTACATAAAATTGATAAGAAATTTTTCAGATTCTGCACTATTTATAGGTGAATTGCATAAGCAAATTTGTGACATTAACCATATGAACTCCTTCAGATGGTTAAATGTCAGATGTTCTTGCTTCCACTGAAGCTTAAATGCTCTTTGGCTTATTCTCAAATCATACTGGAAAATCATACAATATGATCATTAGGTTTGACACCAACTTGTGAAGTGCTGCTGTCATTAAAACAAATGCCTGAACTTCATGTTCAGTTTTCAATTCAACTTTTTGCTAAAATTGTTGAATGGGGGAAAAAAATAAATAAAAAGTAAGTAAGTAAATAAGTAAATAAAGGAATTTAATTTAATTTAATTTAATTTAATTTAATTTTCATTATTATTATTAATTTTTTTATTTTTGCAATGCCTCCGGGCATTTATTTAGGGCATCCAAGACTAAGTCCTACCTACTTGAATAGGGAAATCCTAAATTCTTAAAAACTGCTTACCACACTCACATTTAAATTACGTCATCTGACATCAAATCTGACATTAACTATGCCATAAATGTTGTCTCTAATGCCTAAATAGCATTAAAAAGCTTTTATTTTAGGCTGGACCAGCCAATGGGCATGTGCTGTCCTATGCGCATGTCCAACCTAAACCCATGTCCTATGATACTTTTATTTAGAAGATGGGAAATATTCTACCATATTGCAATTTTTTTAACTATATCTTATCGTTATCTACCTTGGTGTGAACAGGCCTGAAGTCTTTGATTGAATTAGAAAACTGAAAATAGAAGGATTTTTCTTTTTTTGAACCATGGGTATATTTGGGAAACTAGGAGACATGAATGATTTCACACATTAAACCTAGTAAATTACCATTAAAATTGCCGAATTTACTTTACTGGTGAGTAACACAACATTTAATTTACATTAATTCATTTAGCATATGCTTTTTTCCAAAACGACTTAAAGATTTGACTTATGCTCTAGCTTTTTTCCCAATCTAGCTTTCAAATGAACCTACCATTGTATACTATGTGTATTGCTTGCTCTGTGATGAATTGAATTTATGTTCCACTATTGTAAGTCACTTTGGATAAAAGTGCCAGCTAAATGCATAACCTGGTATTTCTCAAAAGGGCTTGTTCTCATACATGAACTCTAACAGTAATTTAAATTTGCCAGTAATTTTCCAGAAAATACTATGTGTGAAAGTGTCCACTGTGATGTGCCTTTTTGTTAAGTTTCAGTCACCAAGGCTATAATCTCAGCTGGAATTGAGCCACTGTGATAATGATAATGTCCACCCGCTGAGAGATGCAACCATGCACAGCAACTCTAGCAATGAAACTAATAAATTGGCTTGTGAGCAGCTCTTTGCCAACATTCGCTGTAATGTGGACCAGACTTCATGTAGATTTTCAACAGGACTCTTGAGACTGGAATCCAAAGACCAGTCAGTTCAAATAGCAGTATGTTTGAGGCTGATAGATTCCTTTAATCTTAAATATTGTGTATTATGACCAGCTATTTTTCTTAACCTCTCTAGCTTTTAAAATTAATTCAGGTTTAAGTGATTCATTTATACAGCAGCATAATCATTCCCTGTTGTTGACCCAGAAACACTTCAGTGGTGTGGAGAACTACACTAATAGTGTTATTTGTCAGGTATCTTCTCAGTGACGTTTCCCAGTGAAATACGGAAGAACTAGACTCTTATTTTTTATTTTCATGTTTATTTTGGGAGAAGATTGTGGAAAACCTAGTCAGCTTGTTGAAATGGCAAAGCATCGTGGAGTTAAAGAGTAAAGTCACCCTTAGGATACATCTAAATCGTTCCCCAGTCCCACCAACGCTATAATTGCTGATTGTAAGAATGAATTAATTTGATTGCTGGCAATCATAAAACAAGTTCACACTTACTTTACTGTGTAATGCTACTAATTTGCAGTTTTAGTATGATTAGCGGTTTGTCTTTCAAGCTTAACTTCTATAAACCCATGTTATTTGCTTTGATGTTCGCAGACTACAGGAATTGAACTTTCTCCACTGTGCTGGATGTTCTCATAGACAGCTGAGCCAGAATTAGGTGAAGAGGTCTTAGTGGACTAATCATCAACAAAGTGTTTATTATGCAGAGGATAATAAACTGAAGTATTAGTCTAAAGGACCAAGATTTAGCAGCTCTGTGAAAAAGTACAGAGAATTGTTTCCTGAATACAACTAATTTGGGTTCACTTCACTATTCTGATTATTGTTCCTTAGTTCATGTCACACAAATTCTTATGTCATGACATTTTTAGCTTCCTCTCTTTCTGAGTTGAATTCAATCACATGAATATTATTGCTGAATCTTAAAGAATCGTATCATTCCATCTCAGACCCAACTTTGTGCCAAAAACAATATTTTTCTCTGTATAAAATGGATCACTATGTTTTTTTCCCATAACTCTTGAGCTTGACAAGGCCAATATGAATGTAAACATAATGAAATACTGATAAGACTATTAGAAAAACTTGCTCTGTTTGAACCATGTTGTCAAAAACAGTGATGTCATAAAAGATCAAAGCGTTGGGTTTAGAGAGGGAAATATAAAATAGAAATGTTTTGAAATCTGTTTTATTCTAAAAGTTATTTTGTTATATACAGTAAAGTATCACTAGTTGTGGGAACACATTCACAACTAAAATGGTATACCATTGCACTAAATGGCTTATCTTACTTGGTTCTTAAAACAAGAGTATTTTACTTACCCCACTGGCAGATAATTTTACTTGTTTTAAGCAAAATGCACTTAATTTGTTTTTTCCCCCTGGAAACAAGACTAAATATCTTAAGTCATTTGGCTTATCTAGTAAAAGTATCTTGATTTAATTTTAAGATATTTTGACTAGAAACAAGACAAAAATACTAAGTAAGATAAGCCTTTTTTTGCAGTGTATACCATGTCAAGATGTGATTGTTCATTTAATTGGGGTTGAATTAGGCTTGTAAATACTTGAATATAATGTAGTCTATGAGTAGAAATACCTGTTTATGTCGTACTTCGCTGAAAGCAGTGGCTGGGATTGAACAGACTGGGTCAGACCTTATGTGTGGGATGTGAGTTATAACAAGAGTGGGTCATTTGAAGCAGATCTTACATAACCCTCTTTTCAGCTTCAGAAAACCAAGAGAGAAGTCCTTCTCTTCTGAGATTTTTTCTTCATTTCCGTGAATTTATTTTCTCTCAAAAGGTCCTCCGTGAAGAAGGAAACCTAGTGTGTTAAACCCTTGAAAAGAGATCTTGTCCATTTCTTGAATAGTTTATGAATGGTTTGCATGTTTATCTTTCAGAATACCCTGAATGAACGATATTGATAGTAGTGCTTATCAATATTAAGCATCACTATTAATATCACTCGTAGAGTTAGTGATTTGAACACACCTTGAACCCAGGAAATTCATATTGTATTAGTTGTATAACTCTCACACCATTTGACAAACACACGTGAATGATATTTACTGTAAAATTGTAAATCTTGGTGAAAAGAGGCGCTACTACTTTCTTGTGAATATTGTCTACCATACAATAAAACAGTAAAAGCATTACATGAGTTTAGATGGACTCGGGATGGACCGACCCCTGTGTAGGTGCCAGAATACCATAGAGACTTGGGGGTGGGTTTTTTCAACTTGGGCCAGTAAGCAACCACGCAAGTTTTGCCAGTGCAAACACTACTCATGTTTTTTTTTTCAAAAAATGCAAGCCAGTGATATGTGCTCTAACACTATCTGCAATATCACCCTCCTTCCCTCACAGGGATTTTAATGCTGAGAACACAGCAGCGTGCTGTTCATATGCTGAGGCCATGTCTCTTTATCTGTGTTTTTCAGAATAAAATACCAGGTGTGGGATTCTTGAAGATCCATGCGCCTTGGGAGGTTCTTTGTCGAGAGGCAGAGTTTATGAAGTTAAAAATGCCTACATTTAAGGTATTTGTTCTTGTATCTTATCACGTGATAAAGAGAAGCTGTGTGTTCTACACGAGCATGATGTACTCTGCTGTGCTATCATGTCTTTTTCAGAAATATGAAGTCAGCCATGGAAGCAGCATTGTAGAGAAGGTCAACATGTTTATGCAGAAAGTCACTGCACCCTTGCAACCTAACGTCGGGGAAAACCGGATGGAAAATGTGAAACACCTCTCCTACCCGTTCTCACGAGAAAAGCAGCATCTGTAAGTCTATAGTCATTCATGGCCACACTTAAGCTCATGTTTAAGATGATTGCTGACCTCACAACTATTCCTCACATCCTACATTGAGTACAAGGAATGAAAATGATCAGAAATGATTTTGCCAAATGCTATTTTTACTGTAGAAAACAAAACGTGATTGTTATGAATGTTCAAATTTATGGTCAAGTTAAAGTAGTGAAATATGAAGGATGCTCACTAATAATCCTCTGAAAGGCAGTGTACTGTAAATGTGCCTTTTGTTTTTACAGCCCCATGGTATATTATTGCCTGTATAATTTAATAGGCAGGCACAAAACAGTCAATGAAATGACCCTTAGTTTCTTTTCACAGCTTTGATTTATCAGACAGAAATTCCTTCTTCGACAGCAAAACCAGGAGCTCAATAGTAAGTACCAGTCCCTTTAGAAAAGCGTTTTGCCTCCCTAGTCAGGGACGATTTAAGGCCAAGTGTCATTTATCCCATGATTTGATTGCCAAAGGGCCTGTGTGGCTCCACACCAAAATGTCAGTGACGTCAAAGTCGTTCTTTTTGTGGACAATGATTTCAGTCACTTGATCTGTCAGCCACCTCTTACAATGCTGTCCAACCTCCGATTGATTTTCTCAGCAGGATTTATTTATTTATTTTTGCTATTTTAGGTCTCTTAAAGGTATCCTGTGGTATTTAGAACTTTTGTTGACTACTATTTAATGTCATTTTAGTTACGTTTTGAGTCTAGTATCACCAAGAAGGAATACTATTTATAATAATCTTTATTTATAATCATCTTTATAAACCTATTTCTAATCCTCAACAGGTGTATGAGATTTTAAAGCGAACAAAATGCACACGGGCTAAGTATATCATGGGTAAGTCTCATTTTCGTATTTTTGCTTGACAAACTAGCGCAAATCAACCTGAATCCCATCCAACAATGTTGTTGAATTGAAATGTTATCAAAAATCAATGGTAACACTTTATTTTAGAGTGTCTTTGTTACATGGTACATGTACTTACTAAAGTAGTAACATTAAATTATAACAAACTAACAGTAAACCAAGCCCTAATTCTAACCCTATAGTAAGTACTTGTTACTCATGTAATATTACTCATTACTTAATTGTTTAATTACACTGTAACAAGGACATCTTAAAATAAAGTGTAACTAAGGTATCGCTGTCTTGCAGTTGAAGCGCAGAGTCTATAGTTAGTTGTGTAACGTTTGAACCATAACGTCACCAACACAACTTTAAATGTGCACAAATAATGAGCAAACAACTCACACATAACCCTGCCCCTAATATCCAAGGACAGTGATTGGTTGAATAGATTGGTGATTCGCGAGTATACTTTAGGGCTGTTCACACTGTGCCTAACGCAGGATTATCTAAACCCCTCTTTTAACCCTGGGGACCCTAGGTACATTTCACACTTGTAATTTAGTAGCAGGGTTAGCACCGCTTTTACCCAGGGCACGGTTTGTGCAGTGTGAAATGATGCAGTGATAGGATGTTGTGCATGCATACTTCGCAACTGACAGTCGTTGGTGACGGAAGTGGTGACAGAAAACCGAAAAAATTGGAGTAAAGAAGAGACTGTTTATTCTTTCCTTTACAGTCCACCAAAAGGTCCATTCAAATGGAAAAACCTGATTTACCCAAGCTTTAGAATAACCAAGTGTTAACTATTGCACGTGTGAAAAGCCCTTTTGTGTTTACAAGCACAACAATAATCACTCAACTCGACTGAATTTCATGTTCACAGGAATCAGCAGTCTACTGGGCAGTGGTATCTACACAGCAGCCTACCCTTTGCATGATGTAAGTGACATAATATTTTGTTTTCTTTTATGTGTACAAAGATCCATTCAATTCTCTCCAATTGATTGTTCTATTTCTTGTGTAAGTTAATTTGATTATTTTAATTACAGGGCGATATTGATGGCATAAATGCTGAAGCAAATGACAGAAAGGTAAAATACATTATAATACATACTTATATCTTAGACTTCAGATATTTTAATCTCACACTTATTTTTGAAACAAAACATGTTTCGAACCTCTATCTGCATTGGGCTACATTCAAACTGCATGCCTTAGTGCTCATTTTAGATTTTTTTTTTTGCTCAGGTCATTTTTTTTGTCTGGCTGTTCACATTATGTTTTGATACGTGAATATCAGATTTGAGTGTGAACTGAAATGACTATGTATAAATGAAATACGGCATGCAAAGTTTTGACATGTTATAGATACACAAAAACAGCTGCCTTTGTACCTAGGGTGATAGAAGATAATGAAGGCATAAGTCAGGGATTTGCAAAGCCCAAATGGTGCCTGCAGTAAGGTTTCCAGCATACAGATGAGAACAATCAATAGGCTATATAAAGGGATAAATTCTTTCATTCCGGTCTGTGTTCTTCACTTTACCATCTGTTGAGAAAAGAGTTGTTATCGGTGAATCCTCTCTACATCTGTTCTCTAAAATTGTTTAAAAATTCTAAAAAATAAAAAAAAAAAGGTCTAAAATTCTAAACACATTTATTTTCCTCTGAATATTTCTTAAACCCTGTTTCATCTGGTTAGACACTTTTATGGCATACTGTAAGAATGTGGTAATTGATTCTCATATTGACTGCTTAAGATATAATTAAACCCTATAAATGGGCTCCAGAAACTTGAGACGTAGCTTGTGTAGAGGAGACCTTGTGAGACTTTGGACGTGCCTGCAGCAAGCTCAGAATAATTGTCAGGTCACCAAGGCAACAGGATAATTTCCCACTTCAGCCATCTGTGAGCAGCTCTCTTGCAGGCTTGCTGTTGAGTGGGAAGTGTAGCCCTTCTCAAAATAATGTATAACGGTGATTTTCAAGAACTAGAAAAAGAGTAAATGTTCCATTTTTTTTTCACAACAAACCTCAAGGGACCTTGGAGACAGTTGGAGTTTTGGTGTGTTTAGTGTGTTTACTACTGTAAGATTTGCGTGCAAATACAGTATATGCTAGTGTTCTTGTAAAACATAGCTTAGTAGGTATATACGTCAAGTGGTTTTGTTGCGCTGATTTTATGCTGTTCTTTTTAACTTTTTATTCATCAAAGAATCCTGAAAAAAGTATCACAGGTTCCAAAAAAGTAATAAGTAGCACAACGGTTTCCAACTTTGATAATAAATCAGCATATTAGAATGATTTCTGAAGGATCATGTGACACTGAAGACTGGAGTATTGGCTGATGACATTTTTGCACTGCATCACAGAAATAAATTATATTTTTAAGTATATTAAAATAGAAAACAATTATTTTAAATTGTAATAATATTTCACAATTTTTTATCAAATAAATGCAGCCTTGATGAGCATAAGATTCTTCTTTAAAAACATGTCATATTACACAATGTCTTTAAAGTTCACTTGTCTCACAAATTTGCATATAGCAAGTAAAGATTACAAGAATACATTCACTTTGTTTATTTTGAGTAATCTATATGAATAAAGCAGTATAATCCAAGTCTTCTGAAGAGACACAATCATTGCTTTATATGATTAAATCAGTCTTTTATTCAGCTATAAACATTGATCAGCTTAAACGTGCCTGCGCCGTTGAACCAATGATGTTTGTTCTGGCTTGACAGACAAGCACATTTCTTCCTCAATAACTAGTGAGGTTTTTTTCTCATGTATCAAGCAAGTACGATTGAGCTGCAGTAAAAATAGCTGTCTGGGGCCCCCGTGAAAATGGCAGGTAGCTCAGTTTGTTAATCCATCCATTAAAGGCAGGGTATGTGATTTTTCAAAAACACTTAGAAAACTGATTCGGGCCGAATAGCAAAACAAACTTGTAGCCAATCAGCAATAAGGGGCGTGTCTACTCGTGATGTGGAGGAGAGTGCTTTCAGTGCATGGGACGGACATTAGCCGAGCCGAGCGACAGAAAGATAGAGATGGCGGATAAAAAAACAAAAGAGGAAAACATCTGCGGAACGATAAGGCAAGAAGTAGGACACGTGTAAATATCGGATCAGCTTTCCAGCGCTGATCCAGTTTTCTGTCGGGGATTTGTTGCACCGCGCCGCTCACGTCCGTAGACACGGTGTAACATTGGTTT